TGGGCTTTGGATTCAAACCACCATTCTGCTCTCAAGGTTTCCTGAAGCTCTGAACCTTCTGTAATCTCCAAGACATGAATCTGCTCAGGTCTGGTAGTGGCCAGGATGAGTCCAGCATCACCTTTTGCAGACTCATCTCCCTGTGATGAAGTCCGTGCTCAATTCCATCCCTCAAAGAGGTAGCTGAGGCGGGTGCTGGGTCAAGGGTTTGCCATGGCTGAATCTCAAGAGTTTGGGGTTCCCTTTTGCTGTGTCTGCAGAGAGAAGTAATTTGCCTCTCAATAAAAAGAATGCTGTCCTGTAAGACAAGTCCTTTGGGTGAGCCGTGAGCTTGCTCATGAAGCATGACAGCTTGAGAGCAAGGATTCTCAGACTTCAGAGTGTGGGAGGTGGCCATAGGAGGAGACACAGAGGTCCTCTCCCTGTCCTCCAATAGCAGGTGTGACTTCAGGGATCATGAATTGGAAGGGATACAGGGATATCCTGGGAGAGAGAAGGAGTAGGGCAGGAGGCAGTTTTCCCAAAGAATGCAACAAGGGGCCATGGTTACTCCGTGGCAGAGAGTAGATCCACTGACCCGCTTCTGAAGTTGCAGTGACCCCAAGGTCAGAGAGAAAGCCCTGCATTTTTGTGCTGCTGGTCTGCTCTCCCTGCCTTCTCTGAGGGCCTGACACATGGTCAAAGCTTCAGTCCCATCTCTGATGGCCAGGAAGTTCCAGATCAGAATTCCATCTATCCTCCCCTCCACCAAGGGACCCTGGCTGAGGGACTTGACCCACAGATTGGCAGGTGCCTGAGAAGGGCAAGACCAAACCGCTGCTGTGAGTTCCGGTTCTGGCTCCCCCAGCTCCCCAGCAGCACAGCTGGGAGGGAGTGTGTCTTCAACACCACGTTACCACAAGCAGAGCCTGTGCCTCAGCAGCAACAGCTTCCCTTGCACCTCCGGAGGAAGTGTTAATGAGGAGAGCGGATGGGAAGGGCTGTGCCTGGCTGCGGTTGTCACAGTTCGCTCCTTTTGGCTCAGGGAACTAAGGCGCTTACACAGGAACACGCCTTCTTAAGGGTAGAACATTAACACAAAGAACGCACTCGCACTCCGGTTTGCACCATTTGACTGAATTGCCCAGAGCAAGCATTTCTGTAGTGAAGACCCTGACAGGATGCAGCTGTCCCAGCTCTGCAGCATGGTGACCACAGCCTAACCCAGATGGCAAGTCTAGAACAGAAGGCCACACAGACACGCGGGCTGAGATGTGCCTCTGCTGTGGCTAAGGCCCCTGTGGAGGACACAGTCCAGGTCCATCCCCCCAGAGCGTCCTGCCTGTGCACCCTGCTCCAGAGCAAAGCCCTTCCCTCTTGCTTCCCAGGGAGGGAAAAGGTGCAGTAAGCCCCAGGCACAGCCAGGGGGTCATCAATCCAGGACTGAAGTGACAGCCAGCATATTCTTCCTTGGATTTAGGGGCTGCTCCCATCCAGTCTTTCCCAGGAGTAGTAAAAAAGAATTTTCTTCTAGAAACAAAGATCAGTCCCCAGATCTGCGCAGATGCCTCTCCTCCCCAACCCCCTGCTGACCCCCATATCACATTCTTGCCATTTTCCATGGACCAGAGGACAAGCAAGACCCTGGAGTCCTCCATCTGGAAACCAGGGCCAGGCTCGGGAAGAAGACCAGCAACCAACATTGCTCTTCTAGAGCTCCCATGTGTGTATCCAATGTCACGCACCAAAGTGACAAGGCTGCAGGGACACCAAGATCAAAGATCAGTTCCTGCCCAGGAAGCAGGGTCAGGGAAGATCGATGGGTGGAAAGTAGCTAACAGTAAGCAGAGGCAGCACGTGAAAAGTCCTCAGGACAGGACAGTCCTTGTGCCCAGGGCCTTGGGGAGGTCAAGGCTTGATTCACCACCAGGTTGCTGAGGGGTCGTGGTGAAGGAGGAGACTGGAAGCCACAGGTGGGAAGCTGAGGAGGAAAAGGTCAGAGAATATGTGGCTGCTCTGGAAAGAACATTTGGGAAAACAGAGATGTTTGGCTGGGTCTTAGGGGAACGTTTGTCCCATGGGCTTCTACTTGCCACAAAACTTCCATAAAAACCTACGTGACTAACCATTTTGGCAGGGGATGAATCAATAGCTGGAGCAGATCACAGATCAGGCTGGCTTAGAGGGCCAGACTGGGGCTGGCCAAAACGTTCCCGGGTTATAGCAGGAAGTGGGGTAACAGTTCCCAGAAAGCAAGGCAGCTGGAGGCTTGGTCAGCTGGGAAGGGGACACTTTGCTGGCTTGGCTAGGAGAAAAGGGGATAATTCCAAGGGTGGGAGGACTTACAAGAAAAAATTGTAAGGTGATAAGACCTTAAGTCCTGAACAAGTGAAAAGATATATGGGGGAGGGAGAGGGTACTTAGGACACGGGGTCTGAGTCTACTCTTTCCTAAGAGGCCTAAGTATCCTAGAGTTTCATCTGCCTCAGAAAAAAGCTGGAGGGATTATTCTTCATCTCTCACTGAGGCTGATAAATAGCGCCCCCCCACAGGTCTCTGACTTCTAGTCTCTCCCCTCCCTGATAGGTCCTCCTTGTATAGTGAACTAAACAATCTTTTTTTTTTTCCAAAGTCTAGTTCTCATTGTTTCACTCTTAAAGTCCTGTAGTGACCCCTCATTTTTTTACCCAACAGAATTACAGCTAAAGGCCTAAGACACAGACACCAGGTCATCAGGCCCTGCCCATCTCTACAGCCTCATGGTGGTCACAGCCCCTTCAATCCTCACCCTCCATAGCATTGACCTGCCCATGGGTCCTCTAATACATCCTGCTTTTCACACCTCAGAGCCTTTGCACCTAGGATCTCCCACCCTTGCCTGCAGCTCTTTCCCCCAGCACAATGGCCAGCACCCCAGCAGTATCCTGCAATCCTCCCTTCCTGTCCCTGTATTCCCCTGGTGTCTTGAATCAACACTAGGCTGGCACTAGCTACATTGTCCCATTACCACAATGGGTGATAATGAGTGTAATACATTCCACTATTGTAATCTATGTAAAAAATAAATTTAAAAATTCTAAAAAAAAAATCATCTATTTCTACATCTATGATCCATTAAAATACAGGATGGCCGTCCAGCACCATAACGACGCTTAGCTCATCAATGACACTTAGCAAATGGACATTGAATGACTGAATTTGAAACTCTAAAGGGCCCACACATAAGTCACTCTTTGGGGAGCCCATTCAGCTGATAAAGGCCCCACCCACCCCAGGAACTGCAGCAGACACCAACTGGACCCTAAGTGGACACTGACCTAAGCTCAGCCAAATGAGTTCCCTTTCAGGAAAGTGGAATTGGCTCCAAGAGAAGCAAGTTTGTTTCTGGAACTGTCACATGTAAACCTTGAAACTGTGGAACATGCCTATTTCACCAGTGACACAGGACAGTAGAGAATGTCACTCTTGGAAGAAAGAAAATGAAGTGGCCTTACAGAGGATTTCAGGGGTTGTCTGAGTCCCAGTTCCAGCCCTCTGCTGGAGCCATGAGAGAGTCCTGTGAGGCCCCTGGTTTACCAGTAAGTTGTTTCCTACTTCATGATGAGTTCCATGGGGTTTCTGATCCTTACTTTGTCCTAATCACACAGGGTACAACCTTTGCCCTAAGAGAGATGGTTGGGATTTCTTCAAAAACCTTAATCTATGAAGCATGTTCAGACACAGAGTAGACCTAGGCAAAACCAGCCATATAATTTGCAGGAGCCACTGCACAATAAAAAAAAGGTGAGATCCTTTGTTCAAAAAGCAGGAAAAGGTGCCAGTTAAGGCACTTCGACACAAAGCGCTTTCCTTTTTCCTGCACTCTCTCCACTCTTCATGGTGTTTATTTGCTAACTAATGTCTTCCTAAGTAAAGAAAACTTAAAATTGTAAATAGTTAGGATGAATTTAACCATTTTATGCTGTGTAATGCCCATATGCAAAAGCAGCAAAATTGCATGATCTGTGTTTCTTGACTTCTTCCAGAGGGATGAGCTGAAGGCCTCCAGGCATTGAACTCTCCCAGGGAGCACATTACCAGGCATGGGGATACTTTGCAGGTGATGCACAGAGTCTCATAAACTCCTGAGGGTCCTGTCTTGTCACTTGAGCTGGAATCCCCTTCCCACCAGTCACCAGACCTATGCACTGACTGGGACTAGGATAGGGATGGCCACAATTATGACTGGCCTTGAGACTCCAGAAAGAATGCACACCCCACTCTGACCCCCTCTATATGCCCATTAGGCCCTCACCAGGGATAGAAGGTGGCAATGTTCACTGGACAAAGAAGGTTTAAAGGCTGGGCCTCAGGGCTCTAAGGGAGCTAGAAGTAGGTGACTTGGGGAGGTAGGTAGGGTTCATTAGATGCATGAACTGAAGCTCCAAACCCTTGGTGCATATTCCAGTGGGGCTTCACTTTCAAAACACAATTCCAAAGATAAAATTAAGGATTTCAAGGCAGTGACTATAGAGCTACACTGCAAGTGCTGGGCCCTTGTGATAGTACTGATCTTATGCCTATGAAGTTGGCCCTGTGTGCAGGAGGAAGGCCTCAAAACTTTTCACATAACACAAGTTCAGAGACTGAAGCTGAAACAAAAGAATGGAAACACATTACACATGCATATTGAAAAAACAGAGCACAGAGCCTACAGGTCAAGGATGCAATTCACATCTCACCCAAAGCTAAGCTAACAAGCAGATATCTTCAGTCGCCTCATCCCAGAATGCAGAATGGTCCAGAAGCTGTTGTATGTGTGAATGAACTGGAATTTAATTTATGAGCATCAACTTGAGCTTTATTCCAAAGTTAAAAACACATAAGGCCTTTAGCTATTCAAAGCTAAAGCTTTCTTTTATGAAAGAAGATAGGACCATATTGGAGCTTTCAAAGAATAGGAAACATTACTAGTTTCCTTTGCCCAAATAACTTACTTTTAATGACTTGGCAGTTTAACCCAAGCTTCACTTTCCAGAGCTTTATATAAAGAACTTTCTGTTGGGATTAGCTCCAAACAATGTCATTCGGATTTCTGGCATCTTTTGCTGGGCTGAGAGATCCAGGCGAATTTCCAAGGTATTGGAAACCATTGTTTTCCGATTGCTGCTATAGATCTCCACCCCTCCAGCGGCATTCGAACCCAGGTAATCTTCTTGATCCATGTGGATATCCACATTTCTTTGGGTTACATTCTGGTACTCAGGGATGGCCTTTTGCACTGCAGTCTCCACCAGGAGGAAGTCCTGTGGCCTGCAGCGCACAATCACCACGGGCTCCAGCAGTCGGAGCAGAGCCTGGAGCACTAGTTTATCCAGCAAATCCTGGTATACTTTTGGGTCTGCCACGATTCTACCAAGTTTCAGCTTTGCATCCCTGAGCAATTCTGAGATGAGGTTATCTCGGGCTCTCAGGACTTTCAGCCTTGCCTGGTTCCTCATGGTGGACAACTGAATTTTCTTCTGCTGCTCTATCTGCTTCTCCTTCTTCTCATAATACTCCATAATCTTCAGTCGCTGGGTTTGCACTAGACGTCCTTTCTCAATGTTGAACTCCTCCTCAGCCTTGGCATCTATTTCCTCTGCCTTCTCATTGGCTTCCTGCTTGATGAAAGCCATCATGTGCTTAATCTGCTTCTGCACGTCGACATCGTTCAGTGACATGGTGGCTCCCAGAAAGGCAGATAGAGAAAGAGTTGGTGGGCTCTCTGGTTTTTTGGATTTAGGGCAGAGATTCAGAAGTGTCTCTGAAGTTCCACTTCCTCAGCTGTGGAATTACACAGAGAATGAAAGAGAAAGTCAGAGCCTAAAGGGGAGATGCCAGGGAAACACCTACATACTTCTCATGTTACCGATGAGGAAAGCGAGGTCCAGAGAGGGAAAGAAATTTGTCAGAGGTTATATCCCAGAAGAACTTTCAGTCTCAGCATTCCATTCACGCTTCACTCGTTGTCTTTTTATCATCAAGGATTTAGAGCAGACCTAGTCCAGAAATTCCCTGGGCAGTTACAGTCTAAGACTCATAGGAAGCCAAGGGAATGGACATACCAAATTCATTCATAAGGGAAAGCATTGGCATGTTTTGTGCTGGAGAGGACCAGCAAGAATCACAAGACACTGTAGGATTCAATCTAGGAAGGCTGAATGGAGGTGAAAGAATTTCAAGAGCCTTTAAATGATCCAAAGAGGTAGAGTCCTGCTAGGCCAGAAATAGTGCCTTGGAAAGAGCTGGGAGGTGGGAGAGGCTGAAAATAGTCTTTTTAGTGGGAATGGATTCCAAACCTGTATATACATCTGAATCTCCAGAGAGGGTTCTGGAAAGCTATATTTCTTAAAGGTTTCCCAGGCGAGGGGTCAATAAGTGTGTTCAATAAGCCCAGAAAAATGATGGATGAACAATGTGAGAATATAAAAAAGAGAAAATGTAAAAAAAAGAAGAGTCAAACAAATATTGGGACTGTAGAATCCAATAATTGAATTAAAAAATTGTGGAAGGAATACAATAGCAGATTGGATCAGGCAGAAGAAAGAACCGGTAAATTCAAAGTCAATCCACTTGAAATGATCCAGTTAAAGGAGCAAAGAAGAAAAAAATTTTTGAAAAGAGTGAAAAAAGCCTTAGGGACTCATGAGAAACCATTAAGTGAACCAATATTTGCTTTATGGGAGTCTCGGAAGGACAAGGGAGTAAGGAAAGAACAGGAAGCTTTTGAGGAAATAATGTCCCCAAACTTCCCAAAACTGGGAAAAGAATGGATATCTAGACTCAAGACATGCAACAGACTTCATCCAAATTGTCAAGTCAAAGAGAAAGACTTTTGAAAGCAGCATGAGAAAACAAGTCCTGTCACATAGTAGGGAAGATTGTCAGACTACCAATGGATTTCTCTGCAAAATACCTTGCAGGCTAAGAAGGAGTGGGATGATATACCCAAAGTGCTGAAAGAAAAAAACTTTCAGATAAGAAATACTACATTGAACAAAACTATCTTTCAAAAAGGAAAGAGGGTCTATTGGTCCCAGCTATTTAGGAGGCTGAGGCAGTAAGACTGCTTGAATCCAGGAGTTCACGATCAGCCTGGGCATCATAGCAAGACCCTATGTAAAAAAAAAAAGAAAAGAAAAAGATACAAAGACTTCCCTAGATAAAACTTAGTAAGTTCATCACCACTGAACCCTGAACCTGCATTGCAAGAAATGCTTAAGGGAATCCTGCAATTTGAAGTAAAAGACACAACATGAAAACATAGGAAAGTATAGACTTCACTGGTATCATTAAATATTTTGGTAAATATAGAATACTATAATAATGAACTATAAATCCCTTTTAATTCTTGTTTAGAAGGTAAATGACAAAAAGTATTTAAAAACTATAAAAAATATAAAAAGATCTAATTTGTGACATCAATAACAAAGTGAGTGTGGGGTAAAAAGTACAGTTTTGCATATTATTGAAATTAAGTTGTTATCAACTTAAATTTGATTTTTATAAGATGCTTTAATATACTTGATTTTAGTCAAAAGACTGAGAAGTGACACATAAAATGTTTTAGTAAGCCCTTGGCTACCATGAAAAAAAATACCTACAGAAGAAACACAAAAGGACATCAAATGGCCAAAATAATCTAGAGAAAGAATAACAGATCTTAAATCTGATACTTCCTGACTTCAAAACATTCTAAAGCTAACGTAATCAAAAGTTCTGGAAATAAAGTCAGAATAATAGACTCATGGAAGAGAATGAAGAACACAGAATTAAACCCACACATTTACAATCAAATGATCTTCCACAATTGCACCAAGACTACACAATGGGGGAAAGATAACTTTTTTAAAAATGGTGTTGGAAAAACTGGATATCCACATGCAAAAGAATGAAATTGGACTTTTATGCTACACATACACACAAAAAAATAAACTCAGATGGATTAAAGACTTAATTAAACATAAGACTTGAAACTCTAAAACCCCTAGAAGAAAACATAGAGAAAATCTTTATGACATTGGCCTTGGCTATGATTTCTTAAATATAACACCAAAAGCAAACCAAAACAAACAAAAAAAGAGACAAATGGGATTATATCAGATTAAAAAGCTACAAAGCAAACATCAATAGAATGAAAAAGGAATCTCTGGAATGGAAAAAAGTGCAAAGCATGTATCTGACAAGGGGTTAATACCCAAAATATATAAGAAACCTCTCCAACTCAATAACAAATAATAATTACTTTTAAATGGGCAAAGGACCTGAGTGGACATTTCTCCAAAGAATACGTCCAAATAAGCCAGGCATGGTGGCACAGGCCTGTAATCCCAGTGGCTCAGGAGGCTGAGGCAGGAAGATCAACAGTTCAGAGCCAGCCTCAGTAAAAAGCGAAGTGTTAAGCAACTCAGTGAGACCCTGTTTCTAAATAAAGCACAAAATAGGGCTGGGGATGTGGCTCAGTGGTCGAGTTCCCCTGAGTTAAATCCTTGGTACCAAAAAAAAAAAAAAAAAAAAGAATACATACAAATGCCTAACATGTATATGGTGTATATGAAAAGATGTTCAATACCAATTATGAGGAAAATGAAGATCAAAACCACAATGAAAAAATAAAATAAAAACACAATGAGCTATTATCACCTCATATCTGTTAGATGGCCATTGTGAAAGAAAGGATGGAAAGAAGAGAGGGAGTCAGGAGGGGAGGGAAAGAGGGAGGGAAAGAGGAAGGAGAAGAAAAATTACGAATGTTGGTTGACAAGGATTGTAGAATGGGATCCCCTGTGTACTATTCTTTTTTTTTTTAATTTTTTATTGTTGGCTGTTCAAAACATTACATAGTTCTTGATATATCATATTTCACACTTTGATTCAAGTGGGTTATGAACTCCCATTTTTACCCCATATACAGATTGCAGAATCACATCAGTTACACATCCATTGATTTACATATTGCCATACTAGTGCCCTGTGTACTATTCTTGAGAAGGTATGATGGTGGAGCACTATGAAAATCAGTTTGGAGGTTCCTCAAAAAATAAAAAATAGTGGGCTAAGGATATAGCTTAGTGGTAGAGTGCCTGCCTGGCATGCATGAGGCCATGGGTTCAATCCCCAGTACCATAAAATAAATAAGTAGCTATAAAAATGTGTTTAAATTAACAATAGAATTACCATGTGATCCAGCAATCCCACCTCTGGGTATATATCCAAAAGAATTGAAAACAGAATATCAAAAAGACATTTGCACACCCATGTTTATTGGGTGAGTGCGAAACAGCCTACATGTCCATTGAAGGATTAATGGCTATAGAAAATGAGCTATAGTCATAAAATAGAATAGTGTTCAGTCTTTAAAAGGAAGGAAATACTGAACGTGGATGAACCTTAAGGATATTCTGCTAAGTGAAAAAAGCCAGTTGCAGTGGGACAAATACTGCATTTTCTACTTACATGAGCTATTTGAATAACCAAAGTCCTAGAAGCAGAAAGACAATGATGGTAGCCAGGGGCTGGGCAGGAGGAGGAGTCGGAGAGCTGCTGTTCAGTATGTGTAGTTTCAGTCATGCGAGGTGAGGATGTTCTAGAGATCTGTGTATGACAATGTACTTACACACTTACATATGTGTTGAGAGGGTAGATCTCACATTGTTTTTTACCCCCACACACACACAAACTAGCCCCGTTCCAGAAAGATATACCACTCACTGAGCTTCACGGAAAATCAACCGACTGCTCATGACAAAGATCAGGCCCTTGGGTTCAATCTTACACACCGTCATTAGAAGCCAAAGAGTACATTTTTTCAATTTCATCTATTCCCATTATCTTAGGATGTACTTATGTAAAAATTATATTTTTGTAAAAGGAGAAAAATATTATTCTCTGCTCTTAAGACAAGTCGATTAAATGATTAAAAAAAAAATACAGCTCCCTGAGTAACCCTGCTGATCACCAGCTGTGAGAGCCACAATCAATGAAAGCAGAGAGAGTGCAAGAAGCAGGAAGCCCCAGGTTATGTGTGTAGAGGAAAAAAAGCATCCCCAAACCCTTACCATTCCCCAGCCAAGGACTGCCTTTGCTCTGGTGCCGGGAGTCTGGGCACAGAATGTGGAACTTGGAATTCACCCTGGAACTTGGCATTGTCACTTCCTTCGTTGTACAGACGACCCTCACAATCTGACCGGCAGTCTGAATCCACAGAGTGAGGCAGTCACTGGGGACTGATGGCCAAGTCTGCCAAGAGGAGGCCAGGAGGGATTTCCTTGGCAACCAGGCCGTGACTGGGGCTTTTTCTCGCAGACTCCGAATCTCAATTAAGTTGGCACACAGTGGGCCACTCCGGGGTAGGCTCACCTTGACAGACGTGTGTGTGGACCCAGGCAGCCAGTTTATGAATTTACGAATGAAAAATACAGCTGTCAGGCTGGCAGTGCGTGGCCTCCTTTCTCAGAATGTGCGTCGCCTGGGAAGCTGAGTCTGAGGGTTGTTTAATGAGAAAACAGCACAAGCAAAATTCACCAGATGGTCTTTAAGAGATTCACACCCACCACAGGGGTGCCATGCTTCAGTCCACGAGAGAGGCACCTCTTCATGCCCAGACAGGGCTTAAAGGGGCATGACCCACATCCATGGTGAGGGCCCCGGGGTTGGATTGAAGAATGTCAAGTTCTGCACTGACCGTTTGTAAAACTTTGGCAAAGTAGCCCTGCCCTCAAAGATTCTGTTTCCTCAT